GTTGGTTGGCGGAAAGTTAGTATGAAAATGACATCCAGGTCTTATCGCATTGTTGGGAAAATGGGTTGAGCCTTCGCTTGGTATACTAGTCTGCAGACGTTATAAATCTGGTAGTTTTGAAACTCTGCTTATAAACGAAAGACAAGGTAATTTTCCTTCTTTTGTGCATATTTCTTCTACTGTCGCTGGACGAGTCGTCGGATTCTGATTTCCATGCTTCTCCATCTCGTCAATTTTACCAATGCTTTGGTGTGGCCGGTTCTTCTGTTATCGCCCATCAGAGGTTAGACTTAATCCTAACTCACGTTTTTCAGATCATACGATCCAGACACCGAATGTGCTGGATGCGAAAGTCATTTTGCCAAAGAAACTGGCTCGCCCCGTCTCCCTTGCACTCTCTCTCTCTTTAGTCCGTCTTTCAAAGCGACAAACAAGGGATTCTGGAGACCACTTCCAGTCTCCACTGTCTTTGCCCCGACCCACCGTGCTGAGCACCAGCCAGAAGGAGATGAGATTTCTGTAACTAATGCGTTGTACAGAACTCGAGGGTGGTCTTCGAGGGGCTCCAGTGGAGGTAAGAGGATAGCACGACAAATGCGTGGGTGGTGATGATGGCAGTGTTTCTAGATAAATCATCACCTGATTAGGTCTAGTCAGCATTTCTTGTTCGTGTAATTGTGGGTGTGTGTGTGTGTGAGTGAGTGTGCAGACGCTCGTATTTGCAGGAATGTAATGTATCGAGGAGTAGATGGAGAAAGAGAGAGAGAGAATGAATCGCGAAGGGAAGACGCTTCGGCGATGACATATTAATCCCTACTCCACTTAAAAAATGAACAGTCACAAACATTTTTCACACATTCGCTTTCTAGAACCGGTAAAAGTTCTCTGCGAATCAGAAAAATTTAGCAGCCCAGTGACAAACAGCGCTGCTAGTGGGTGGTCAGAAAAGGCAGGATATTCCCAAGTCATGGTACAATGACCTACACAGCCGTCGGAAGCGGTAGAAATTCATGCAACACTTGCAGGTTTAAACTATGAGCCCACATCTCTCCCAAAACGTCTCCGGATGGCCATCGTCAGACACATTCCGGCACACTCGAAGCTTGTATGAACAAAAGAGGGGTCTTGGAGAATTCCTTAAGGACTTTTCATTTCTAAATAAAAGTTGGTTAGAAGGAATTCGTGAATTTGTCTCACCGGAAACCGAAATAGGATTGCCATGGAGGAGTGGAAACTGTCGAATTGTGCGAAGAAGTCCTCATCTCACCGTCTTGTGACCCCTGATGAACCTGTGCCAAGCTTTAGTCTGTCATGTGATAGGCATTGTCATAACGAGAAACTATCTTCTACAAAAAAACACAAATAAGCTGCAAACTTACTCCTTAGACCTGATTCTGCGTTCCTAATGAACTAATCCATAATTTGGTTGGTCACTTCATGCTTACTACACATGTTTTCAGCTAGATGAAGTAACTTGATGAAAAGAAAGTCTCAATTGTGTTCTTCCATAAGTAAATAAAGCGATGCATGATCTTGAAAGTGTTGACGGATGTTTAGGTCTATCGTATTGCGTAATGTATGCATGCAAAGTTCAAGCCTTGTGAAGTCTGAGTGCCTGGACCAAACTCGAGGCTATTCAAGTCTTCTATCCTGAACAGCGGTTCCGTCTGTTCCCTTTATCTTACCTCTTAAGCCCACATATCAACTACAAATACATCTTCTTTGATCCAGATCAGGTTGCTACAATTTAATGCGTTCTTGGCACGACTGTAGTTAACTGCAAAATTAGAGACCTTCAAAAAATCATCTAACTAGGCAACAAATTAAAGGACAAAGATACCGGTGATTGGTTAAGAACTGTTGTCGTTTACATGACAGATATAAGAATAAAGAGAGTGTTAAACAGCCTGGACACAGGAGTCAACTTAACTATTCTTTTGTTAACCATCATTCTAATTACTATCACGCTTACTGTATTTATTTTATCACTTTATATCTCTCACGCAGACAGACAAAAAGTTCATTAATCTAACCAGACATAGCCCTGACATTACGTAATCGGAGTGATGGCCATAAAAATGGACCGATGACAGATGTTAAGTGTTGTTATAAAAACGTTGTTGAGCTCACTTCAACTTCGAGTGAAAGTGTTTGGTGAAGCCATTCAAAGGTCAATCCCATCAGATGGCTGATTCCTCCAGACCAGCTGGCGATTGACTTAATTGGGGTATTCTTTTTGGCGCAGTTTCCGAGTTAATCTCCTTCGGTTCCTGTTAAAAATACTAAACTGTGTTCAGTTATACTTCAGTCACCATCAGAACAAGGAATAATTCTATAAGTTATATTCAAGCAGAGTTTACTTGAATACTTATATATATATATATATATATATATATATATATATGAGATAAAGCTGGTATTAAATATGCTGAGTTACAGACATCGGATTTTAACGCACACATACACCACACATACATACCCAATAATACTAGTAGCCAGATTAGTAAAATCATTATATATCTAACTATGTCTATATATTTTTTTCTTTTAGCATGTGTATACATATTATGTTATTTCGAACCTGAAAGTCTTTTTGGTTTGATATCAACTTGAAGTTTTTGCAGGAATTAGTCCCAGTTCTGATGATGTTAGTTTTATCAAGAACGAAGGCTCAGCTCGAGGGATGATGTCTCGTGGACCGCGCCTACTTGAACAATGTATTAACGCTAAACGGATACAGAACAACGTAAATCAGCCATCGTCTTCTGGTGAGATCAACCCACAAATCTCTTAATCCTAAAGTTTCACACGAAATAAAAATCGCCACAACAATGTTGTCTAAAAGACGCATCGTAATCCAACTAGTCTTCATATTACCTAGTTGGTTGACCTCGATTTCGCAACTTGCTCTTGTTGTCAGGGCGACTTAGTTGAACGCAGTATGTCCGAAGTCCTCTGGTATAGTGGTTATCATAATTCCCAACATCATAACGTCAACTTGGTACATTATCAGACGTTTCGTCGGCATAGTAGTCGACATCATCTGCGAGTCTTGACATTCTCCTCACCAAGCTACAAATTCATCATAGAGACAATTAAAGTGAATACCACGACCAATGATCTGCCGAAACTCTTTCTGTCTGGGCTCATTTATCCAACTCCTGCCCAACTTCAAACAAGGTGCGCTCAATCAATTTGCCCCGACAACAAGACCAAGTTGAGAAAACGAGATCAACCCAGTCCTATAAATTGAAAGGAGACTGCGACCATACCAAGTCATAGGGCAGATGTGAATTTTAAGGAAAATTCTATTACCACTCATTCATCATCTTAAACGAAATAGGGTGAATATATCTCATATAACTGATGTACTGGTACTCTCGAAACTCTGCTTCTATACGAAAAATAATACTCCATTTATAGTCCCATCACAATTACAGGCTAAAGATAGGAATAATGAGGAGCAAAATCATCCGAAGGTTACGTTTAACAGATGCGGAATTCTGGGACAAGAAGTTGGACAAATTGTCGAGGATATTGCTCGGCAATGGCTACCTAAATGAAGTAAGATAAAGAAACATACGGGCCGTGAAGAGCTGATGGAAAAATGGGGATTATAAAAGAACAGTAAGGATAGAGAAAGACTCACAAAAGAGGATATGCCTACCTTCCTGCGAACTAACTCATAAACGACGGCCAATATTAAGTAAATGGAGTATTCAGGTGGCCATGAAGGAGAAATCAACAATTTTCACAAGTCTACCGACACAACATGAAAGGGTAGATAAATTGGATTGTTCAGGAGTTTACTGTATGTCATGCGGCGTCTGCAAACATAAATACATTGGCAAAACAAGGGAAAAAATCAGCATACGTATCAAAGAATATCAAAAACTCTGCAGGAAAGCGGATACCGAAAGATCAGAACTAGCGGAACACATCGCCGACGAAACATCTGAGAATGTACCAAGCCCACGGTCTGACGCTGCTAATTATGACAATTACTAAAGCAGAAGAGTTCGGAGAAGGTGCGTTCAAATAAGTCGCCATAACAACAAGACCAAGTTGTGAAAACGAGGTTAGCCAACTTCTACGCATCAAAGGGAGACTGTGACCATATCAAGGGTCACACCATCTTGTTCTTCATATCTTCGATTAATATTAAATTGTTATAGAGACTCACATTCCGCATGAAAGTACATGACGAAGGGATTCGTATGTCCTACCTAGTTTCGGGTGAAAATGCGCAGAGTTTCCGTTCGTCACCAGCAGAGCTGGGACCCATTCTTGCAAATGTCTCAAATTAACCCTACGTCAAAAAGACTGA